TTAAACCTTTATAATTTACTCATTAATTTACTTACGTTTTATAATAACGATGATTACTGCTTTCACGTACCTCGGTGTTTCAGGAATTCAATTATGGAAGAATTTTGCCATTTACAAGATTATACCAAAGTTATATATAACTTATAAGGATGAATGAACAATAAAAAATGTACAAGTTATATATTCTAATGGATTACTTCATTCATAATTCATCCATACTTGATCAATATCAAGATAATCAATTATTATAACATAATTCCTTATAAGTGATAAATAATATATACATGTATTTTAAAGCCTCAGGAATTATATAATTTCATTTAGAACAAGGAAATATTTTAATTCAATTAATTTATTTAATATTTTCCTACTCGATTAATTAATTTTTATTTCGTGTAGTTGGTTATAATATAAAGTCGATTCGGGTTATAATTCTCTATTAAAGTGACAAGCAATGAAATAACTTGAGATGATATCTATAAGCCGAATGGAAGGATCATATCATAAATAATTAATCTTATGTATTTCCTCTTTGAATCTTTCATAAATTTTTCTGTTTTTTTTTTTTCTTTTATGAATTTCTTTCGTTTTCTGTGCCACTGAATAATACGAAAAGTTAATATATAAATTATAATTAAATTTACTAAAATTTTTGAATTAATTAAAGTACTATACTTTATCAAAATTGTAGATTACTAAAGCTTAAAATTATATATTATTAGAGAGTAGAGCTTACACAAGATTCTACCCCTAATTCTCGAGGCTCTTCCCCTATCTCCCAAAGCTCTACATCTACTTCTGGAGACTCTACCTCTACCTCTCAAGACTCTACACCTACCTCTCGAGGCTCTTCCCCTATCTCTCAAGGCTCTACATCTACTTCCGGAGACTCTTCCTCTACCTCTCAAGGCTCTACACCTACCTCTCGAGGCTCTCCCCTATCTCTCAAGACTCTACATCTACTTCTGGAGACTCTTTCCCTACCTCTCAAGGCTCTACACCTATCTCTCGATGCTCTTCCCCTAACTCTCAAGGCTCTACATCTACTTCCGGAGACTCTTCCTTTACCTCTCAAGACTCTACACCTACCTCTCGAGGCTCTTCCCCTATCTCTCAAGGCTCTACACCTATCTCTCGATGCTCTTCCGCTACCTCTCAAGGCTTTACATCTACCTCTCGAGGCTCTACACCTATCTCTCGAGGCTCTACAACTACCTCTCTAGGCTCTATTCTACCTCTTAAGCTTCCTTTCCTACCTCTTCCTTTCTTACTCTCTCACTTCCTTTATTCCTGCTACTTTATTCTTACTCTTCCTAATCAGAGTAGGTAGATGAAAGAAAGAGAATAAGGTGATAAGAAAGAGCAATGATGAGTTCAGAGAAGATCTAGAATTATAGAACTAGTAGATATTAAAAATGTAGTAAAATTTTAAAACCACTTTAATTTTTTACAGTAAGCAATTAGATAAAATTTACTAGAATTTATGTAGCTAAAAATTAATTGTTTAGATCCATTTCTTTCTAGAATTTGTCAATTATGATTTTTTTATTCCAGAAATATTACGTTTTTCTAGAATTTTGAATTTATTAAACTTACTAGAATTACTGGAATTGTTTAGATTTTATTCGTTTTACTATATTTGTTAATTCCTGTAATTTACCAATTAATAGTCCGATAATTTATTGTGTTTATTACACTATGGAATTATTTAAATTTGTTAGAATCTAGAATTCTAAAATCACTAGATTTACGGCTTGAAATTAATATTCTCTAGCTTTAAAACAGCTTTAATATTTTAGTAAACTAATAAATTTTAAAGCTTTTACAAGCTAAACATTTCTAGAGTGTTTTAATTTCTAGAATTTATCATTTGTATAGTCCTAAAATTTAGTATGTCTGCTAGAGATTGCTAGAAATTAGTTAAAATACTAAAAATTCTAAAAATTAATAGCGTATAAATCTACAGATTCTAGAAATTTTAGAATCTAGAACTAATATATTCTAGAAAATACGGGTTTAGTAGATTTATTTATTTATTAAATCTATTACTTTCTAGAATCTGTAACTAAAGTTATGTTTAATGGTAATAGGATTGGTTAATGTTAGTAGAATCTAGAATTCTAGAATTTAATTTTTTTTTTTTTTTTTTAAATTGGAATTTAAAATTTTATAAATTTAATTGGTAAAATAAATTATAGAAAAATTTCTGCTTCTGTTCTGGCGAAATTTAATAAGTAATGAGATATATATATATATAGGCCTATATATTTAATTGATTTTTTAGGGATAATTGTAGTAAAACAATTTATTAATATTAAATAAAAAGTTTATTTTAATAATTTATTTACTTGAATTATAAAATATGTATGCTTGATTGATTAAAATGCATCGACTTTTTAAAGTAATGTACTGTACAGTGAAACCTGTCCAACATGGAACATTGGCTGAAGACAGTGGCTTATTATCCTATGGGCAAAAAAGGCAATTGCCTGGGGCCCCCAGCAACAGGTTGTCCCAAACCAATCTTTTATAAACTCATTACTGTATTAAGAATATCGAAATTTAAATTTGGACCGTATCTGGGGATCCTAGATTCCTAGTGTGGCACAGGCGCAGGGTGCATTGGCACAGTGCGGAGGTAGCGTTAAAAAACAAACGAAGATACAACCCCACAAAATTCCCCGAATAAAAATGTTTGAAGTTAGCACTGTGCATGGGACCACCTAATTGAAATTTGCTTGGGGCCACATGAACCACTGGCTGAAGAAAGGAAGAGAATGAGGATCAGAAGGGAGGAGTGAAGGTTTCAGTGGGTACAGATTTATAGAACTATTCTTTATGTGGATCCACGAACAAGACAAGGACTTGTTCTTTAAGACATTGTAAAATTAATATCTGTTCTAGCTGAACATATTCCTCGTGTTCATTATCTTCATCATGAATTGACTCTAATGATGGTTTTTTGGTGGATTTTTGAGGATGAAACTGATGATATTGTGTCAACAATAGTTTTTAATACTAATATTTGATTTATTCACTGAAAGGATTCAAGAACTAAAGCAGATTCGTACTTCATTAATGGGCTGTCCGCGTGGTTCTGGGTTTGCTTCACGTGTCTAACACTTAAATAGGGTACAGTTTCACATTGAATGTCTTCCTCTTGGCAGATCGCCCACGCGTTACGTTGCTTTATCTCTATCATTTTCGTTATCTTCACTAATTCATTCACTGATTGATGAATTTTGAGTTAAACTTTGATGATCAGCAGATGATGCTGTATCAACAATAGTCGTTTATATTAATATTTGAATTTTTGGGGAGGATCCAACAACAGAACCACATTGTGTTTAATTTTTTCCAATTAAAATCTGATAGAATTAAGAATGAATCTCATCCTCTTTATCTTCATAATTACCAAATGATAGAGGCTAACGATTGATTTTTGATAGAACTTTGATAGTACAATAAAACCTGCCTTAAACGGAAAGATTTTCTGCGTTGAAAAAAACCTGTTAAACACGGAAACTTGCCAAACTGGAAAAAAAAAATATTTGGGGTTATGTTATTCCTGTTTTAACAGGTTTTATTGAAGATCCCTCGTTCAGTTTCACCTATGTTTTTCGACTGATCTATAAATGTATGTTAATTAAAATTTAAATTTCTGGTGTTAAATAAAATTAATAATAATTAAACCAAAATGTAAGTCTATAACTTAACCCAAACTTTATGCTTTATTTTTCAGTTTAGTTAAAATATAGAATTAAATGTTGGCATTTATATTACTAAATATTCCTGTTTATTGCCTTCGAAGTTATAAAACTTTCAGGAAATTTCCAATCAATGTTAAATCCTTTTAGAAACCATTACCATAAAGTAGATTAAAGCAATAAAAATTAATTGTATTTTTAGTATTAATTTAAAATTTTCGTATAAATTTTAACCTACCTTTCTATCGATTTAAGAACTGAAATATTTTCATATTTGCGCACTGAAGCTTACCACAAAATTACCTTCATTATAAATAAGTATTTAATAAAATAAAATAAAAAAGTACAGGGTGGACCAAANATTCTGTTGTTATTATCATTATTCAGTTTATATTGTTATATATATTTAATTATACGATATAATTATGAGATGTATTATCGATATGTATACACAAACTCGTAATAATTACGGTAAATGTCAGTAAAATTTCATATTATATTCTACCTTATACAGAAATAAATCGCCTAAAATCTTTTCGCACGGTTTAGTGTACCTGAAATTCTGTTGGAGGAACACCAGAATAGGTTTACAATGGGTCGACTGTATGTACATCTTTGTTTACGTATATAATTAGAAGAGTTTCATGTATTAAAATATAAAATTCTCTATAGACTACTTTTTTAAAAAATACGATAAAACCTGTGTAAACCGGATTACACGGTATGGGATATTTATTTTTCCGTTTTGGACAGGTTTTATTGCATTTATTTGTATATATTTGAAATCTTTCCATTTAATTAAATACGTGCTTTGTCTTTTGTCTTCGTGTACGCGATAAACTTTACAAAAGAGTTCGTTTCAATGTTGATAATTAAGTACTTAATTATAAACGGGAAATTTTCATTGCATAATTCATAATCTCTAAATAGAGCGAAATAATAATAATAATAATATGAAAGACTAAATTCCTGCCTCATATACATAACAAACGGGAGGGATTATAAACGAAATATTTTGTCTTTGTTCTTGGCTACTCAATTACTTACAACTGATTATAATCAGTGAATTGATAATACAGTAAAACCTATTCAAAATGGAAGCTTGCCAAATCATTAACAAATATTCCGCAACGTGCGATTTCGGCTTACACAGGTTTCACTATATAAATGTAGCAACGTAATTTCCTATTTTAAATTGTGTATTTTATTATTTTTTTTTTATACTTAAAATGTAATTATAAAACTAGAGGTGTAAGTCTAACATACGTTTAAATTTGTATTGTTATATTCCAGGTCAAATACGTACAAGAACGATTCTAGATAAAGAAACCGATTCACGATATTGGTTGACGATTTATGCTCAAGATCGTGGTGCTGTACCTCTTTCTAGTCGTTTAGACGTATACATCGAAGTGGCCGACGAAAACGACAATGCACCACTAACCATGGAACCTGCTTATTATCCAACGGTGCGCGAAAATTCACCACCAGGAACACCAGTTTTAAAATTGGATTCCTTTGACTTGGATATAACACCAAACCAGAGATTGAACTATAAGATATCGGCCGGAGATCCTCAGGCTTTCTTTTCTATCGATCCCAATTCTGGTAAGTGACAACTTAACTGACTTTCTGATTAAAATTCCACTGGCTCCATTCTGTTTACTATTAATATTTAATTTCTATGTAAACATTATTAGATACTTGTAAAAGATACGAGGAGGGGAGGGAGGGATGTAAAAAAAAAACATACCAATTCAAAACGCTTAAAATAATTTTAAATGTAAATTTATATGGAAACAATGGGCATAAGATAAAGATTTTCTTAAATTTCAGCAGTAGTCCAATCACTTTGGTTGGGGGAACTTTACGTGGGTGGTTTACTTATTTTAAAAATATAAAAATATTTATCATTAATCGTACGGGAGAGTTGATTTATACAGGATGGCACGAAAGTTAGTTAACCATTTTTAGATAAAAATTGAGAAAATGAATCGTAGAAAATTCGTAGTTTCTTCCTTTTACAAAATTATAGATGTGTATTAAATATTTGAATTTAATTTTTACAAAGGTTAACTGACTTTTGAGCCACCCCGAACCAATGTATATTTAAAACACCCAAATAGAGTGTACAGATTCATCTCGAATGTACAGAAAACAATTAAGAATATACAAAACACGTTTTCATTCGTATTGTTTTATTTTATGAGAATTTTTTTAAAATAATAATAATAAAACAGAAGAAAAAAAACACACCAGCACGTTGTTTACTTCATAGAGTTTCCACCAAAAAAAAAACAAAAAATATTATCTTCGTTTTACATATTTTAAAAACTGTATAATATAAATTTATTTTAATTTTTGATTTTTTTTTAAATATATATTTATATTATATAACCTGAAGGAAATAATTTTGAGGGAAGGTAATGCACATTCATGAGAAAATGTTATAACCACCTGATAGCGTTACGTGAATAATGTAACCCACAAACTATCCTCGGTACGTGACAAGTAATTTAATATTTTCGGATAGGATAATCCGGCATTTTATTATTTCAAAAATTGGACACAAAAAGGCGCAGGTGTTGAAAACGACTGAAGAATATTATTATTCTTTGGCTTTATTTTATTCCCTTTTTTTTATTATTATTATTATTTTTTTTTTTTAACCTCTTTCTTCGGGAGTGAATTTTATCCATAACATTTAACTATTTTTACCTTAAGAATAAATTTTTTTAATTATTATTATTTTATTCTTTTGAAAATTTCATTAAAATTGTACATAAGATTATGATTAATTCTGTTGTTATTATCATTATTCAGTTTATATTGTTATATATATTTAATTATACGATATAATTATGAGATGTATTATCGATATGTATACACAAACTCGTAATAATTACGGTAAATGTCAGTAAAATTTCATATTATATTCTACCTTATACAGAAATAAATCATATAAAATCTTTTCACACGGTTTAGTGTACCTGAAATTCTGTTGGAGGAACACCAGAATAGGTTTACAATTAGAAAAATACTCAAAAAGAAAAAAAAAATGGTTGCCAATATACCAAAAAATTACCATGTGACTTAAAAAAATAGTGTATTTAAGCATCATTTTTAGATTATTTTTTACAATTTATTTGGCCAATTTTTAGCTTTTATAACGGAGTTCAATCTCCATTAGATTTTGTATTTTTATTGAAAACCATTGTTGCCATTGTAGTAAGTAATAACAGTATTCATACGTAAGCGAGTTCTTGCTCCCGAAATCGTTTTCATGGCATTCACAATGGCTGTCTTGTGCAAAGTTCACCATCTGATAATGAAGAAAGCAGTGTTATAATGACGCATCGGCGTGAATGTCCCCTTTATACTTCTGTATCTAAATGTTTCTAAAAGCATTACACGCTTATAATTTCCACACTTAAGAAGAAAGAAATTCAGAAAAAAAAGAAAAAATCGAATATTTGACTGAATAATCGCTACCATTTCTAGCTACAGATGACATTCAGCTACTGATTTTTCTATTTATTTACTTTAAGAGAAAAGGCTAACACCCCGAGGAACAAACTTTTATCTGGTATCATTTTCGGTACAGAATGCATTTCCTTTGTTCTTTTTTTTTCCCCTTCTTCTTCTACTTCTTTGGGGTCCCCCTCCCGGAATAAGGCCTCGAAAGTGTTCGCAGCAACACAACACGCTGCTAAAAAAACAATAAACGATTTTACAAGAGAAGGAAAAAGAGACCCTGGGGAAGAAACGAGACTAGCACAAATCGATTGCTGAAAGGGGGAAGAGCCTAGAATGATAGATGGTTAAGGTGGGACGTCGAGAAAGCAATGTAATGGTCCGGAAGTCCCTGTTTCCGTCTTTCTCCACCTTCTTCTTAATGTTCTCTATGCGGGTATTCTCTGACATTGTCTGTCATAGGGTCGACTAGGGAAACTCGACTGTTGAAAAATCTGTTTTCATTGATTGTTGCTAATCGTTGTTTTAATCGATAGCAATCTGTTATCTTAAGTTAACTCCATTGTTTAAGTCAATATCTCGCCTTATATTCTGTTGAAGAAGTGATTTACTATTGATATGTTCTTATGTTAAACTGCATTGTTTAAATCATCTTGCACTTAGATTCTGTTGAAAAACTGCTTTATTCTGTTAAAGAAATTTACTATTGATATGTTCTTAAATTAAGATTAATTATACAATTCTGATAGTGAAAATATAAAAATGTCCATAGAAATAATAGGAAATTACTAGTCTCTAAAACGTCGGTAAATTGTGATTATAATGTATTATAATTCTGGTATTATGGCTTTAAATTCTAATAATCCTGTGAAAATCCACACAATGGTATAATAAAATTCCAAAAATTTAGATAGAATTTGTAGTAAAGGATGTTAAAATTCGGAAAAAAGGGGGAACAATTGCTTCTAATTTACTCCTAGCAATGAAATTTTTACGTATTGTTACGTGTAAAATTTCCATGGAACAAGTCGCTAACGTCATAAAATCATTCCTTATTTAAAGTTTACTTTATTAATTTTACTAAATAAATTATTAAAATACATTGAAACCTGCCTAAAACGGGAAAAAATGCTGTCCGGTTTACACAGGTTTACTGTAATTTTATTTTATTTTATTTTTTTAAATACACGAGTAGATTATCGTTACAGGAACCTAACAAGGGATCTAAAACTCATGTAAATCGAAATTCCTACTTGACATCCTCACTTAAGTAGAATTGATGCTTTATACTAGAATTACTTTTGATATTTTCCATCGTAATTTTATTACAAATATCAAATAACATTTTCGAATTTCCTTCAAAATATTATTGGCTAAAACATTAGAAAAAAAAATGGAAGAAATTTCGAATTTGATTGACAGAATTCGATACAAGTAATTCACGATTACAACCCCCTCGGTGACGTCATTTCCTTATCAACCGGAAGTCCTACTGTCACGTGCTGAAACGTAATTGATTGTAGAAGTGACAAGAAAGGGGGGGCAACCATTTTCATTCTCATTAAAGAATCGACGAAATTCAATAAACTGTAATGGGTCACAATGCCAATTTATTAGTGAATCCAATAATAGAGAAATTATCGCTAACGTTGCAATCGTCATGGAAACAGTTATATATTTTCTACAATTGAAAGTTAATAGAAATTTCAAGAGTTATAGAGACAAAATTAAACTTTTAACTCTATATAACTCTCTACTTTTTAAATGAAAGTGCCAATTACTTTTACGGAAAGAGAGAGAGAGATTTTGTGGAAGGAATTATAGAGCCAGAATTTCAATTTCTCCTTTGTGATAAAATAAATTATACGGTGTAATTTCATTCACAGATTTAAAATAAGTACAGTATATGTAAAATTAATTTAATCGTTATCTAATTTTTGGGCCATATATCGAAACCTGTGTAAACCGGATTCACACGGTATCGTTTAGACAGGTTTTTTACTGTAGAGTAGAATCTCTAACGAGGGAGAACGTTAAAAAATTGGCCGTTGTTTGGAGGTTATTTTGTACGTGCCTTTCAGAAAGAAACGTCCCTGGAAAAAAAAATGGCCGCCGTTTAAAGGTTGAACGTTATTGGAGGTTCGATTGTCTGTCTGTATCTGTCTGCTGTCTGTCTGTGTGAGTGTGTGTGCATCGGGGTGGCCTAAAAGTCAGTTAACCGCTTTAGTGACTGACCAAGTTCTATACGAGATAAAGAAAGAAATAGATACAGAAGTAAATTGCCTTAATTAAATTATGCAATTTGTAAAGTTATGATATAATTTTACTTGCATGTTTTAATTTTAAACTATCATAAATATTCCCTCATGACATTTAGTCTGCTGATGTTTATCTTTCCATTTCTCAGTACAATTAAGTAGTTATCAGAGATATAATTTATTTTATTTTGATGATTTTAACAACTAAATAAACTCGAAATTCCGATAAAACAATAAAGAACGAAAACTAAAAAAATTTTGTTCTATTATTTATTATTTAATAATCATTTTTTATGATTATTTTTTTAAGCGATTTATAAAGGTAAAAGAAAGAAGAAGAAAAAAAAACATGAATATTTCTTAATATTTAATAAATTGGTTAGTTGTTTAGTGTGTGAGATGTCGGAAATATAACACTTTTTCTATTGACTAATAGATGATGCCAAGAGAAATTCGATATTTTAAAGGCTAAAAGAAGTGAGGAATTTTGAAACCTCCGAAGGGAGAAAAGTTTTATCTTTATATATATATACTTTTATATTTTAACATGAAATTTTGGAGAATAATTTTTGTGATTTGTCTTTCTATTAGTACTTTCATAGAGTAAAAGGAGAGTTTTATCTCTCTCTGTTCTTCTACTGTGCTTCGTTTATAATAATGGAGAATAGTAAAGGATAAAATTTAAAATAAAATAAGTAATTTCAATAAAAATTAAATTGAATTCAAATTTAAAATTTATTACATTAGTTTGGATTTATTTATTTTTATAGAATAGAGAAATGAATAACCGAGTTGATAAAAACCACTGAAGGTTTTCGCGCTGATCACGTGGAGTTNATCAAAAGGTATCGGCCTCATTAACATAATAACTACATT